GTTGCTGTGAGCTAGGCTGACGCCACGGCACTCACTCTAGCCCGGGCAAAAGAGTGAGACTCTGTCTCAAAAAAAAAAAAAGAAAGCCACGCAGGAGACGGTCATGGGCTCCACAGAAGGCCTGCACAACAGGGAGGAGACTCTCAGCCTGAAGATCATGCTGCCCCAGCCAGAGAAAGTGGGATGGCTCCCGCAGGCAGTGAGGGAACAGGTTCCATGTGTCTGGGAGTGAGCCACCCAACAGGGAAAAGAAAAAGACACCCACATGGTGCTTCTCCCACCCCAGGATGACTACACATCCTGTGTCTAGCAGACAGCTGGATGTCTGTTTACACTGTCTGGTTGTTGGGATTTGGTGACTACATGGCACAGGCTTCCAGGCACACACTTCTAATGGAAAATGCCAACTCTAGTCACCCACACTCCTTGGTTACTGATTCACAGGGCCTCCTATGTCCAAACTGGGCCTGGAGGCTGCAGAGTATAGTAGTTATAAACTCTGGCTCTGGCGTCAGCATCTGTCTGGGTTTGAATCCTGCCTTCTGTCCCTAATAGCTGTGTGACCTCAACAAATTCCTTTATCTCTCTGTGCCCTGGTTTCCTCAGCAATTATATGCATTAAATGGGATGATGCCCATAAAATGCTTAGTGTAGGGTATGATCCAAAGTGAAAGCTCAATAAACACTAGCTAAGGACAGTTCATCAGGATATCTGCATACACACATTTGCAATGTTGACAGAACCCAATCACTGTGACAGTGCCAGGACCAGGGAGCACCAAGAAGATGGATGTGTTCCAACTGCATCTTCTCCACTCTCCCACAGATGCATCTCATCATCAGATAGTGAAAGTGGCAAGGTGAGAAAACATGGGTGTTTAAAGTGGGGCAAAGCCAGGCCCGAAGAGCCTGGGCACCTTTGTTAGAGACGGGGGATTCAGATTATTCCCCAAACCTCAGACGATCCTATCAGCCAACTACAAAAGGATGGGATGTGTGCTGTTTGTGCACACATGCACACACACTCTGTGGAAGGAGAGGGCTAGCAGGGGGAGCCAAGGAAGAGGAGACAGAATTCCTGGCATCTAAACACTCTCCCTTTGCCACTGCACCGGCACATGCTTGCCTTGGCCAAGCTCTCAGCTCCTGCTAAGCAAAGCCTGAGCACCTCCCTTAAGAAAGTGACCTCTTCAAAGGCTGGACTGGGGAGCCCTCCCCAGGGAGAAAAGGGATTGGGAATATTACAGGGGAAAGAGAGCACAAAAGGGACAACAGAAAACAGGACAGTCAAGGTTCAACCCAGAAAGAGTCAGCAGGATTCATAATTGGGGCTCCTGGGGGTGTCCTTACAAATACCATCATCAAGACCACCTTAACAACGGGGCCTATTTGTGTCCCCAGAAACAAACTTCAGGGAGAAATGAGAGTCTGATCGGCTCCTGATCAGGGCTTGGTCAGAGAAAAAATGGTGACAAGAAACAGAGCAAATGCAGGGAGCTGGCAGGTGGGCAGCCAGCAGGTCCTCAGCTAATTTGCAGACACCAGCTGGATGGGAAAGACAGTACAGAACAGCAGCCACGGCAGTATCTGGGCAAAGGGAAGAATAAGGTGCTTTATTGCAAGGTAAGGAGGTGACCATGACCGAATCTATCAATTAAAATGACTGGACTTGTTTCCTGGGTCACTCATGATCTTTCCTCAAACTGAAATATAAATAGCAATGAAAATTGCTGTCCAGCTAAATAAACATGGTAGACTGAACATTCATATTTATCTCTACTCCCTCCCAAAACCCTATTAAAATATTAAACAACAGGATGACAAGCTCTAGCAGGGAGAATGTCTCCAAGAAAAGTAAATGGAATCAATAGATTATCTGCTATATTTTGAAGGACCATTCGGTTGTACCTGTTTGACAAGACTTAGTGGTAGTAGCATATACTAAAGGGAAAGATAATTATTAACTGCATTTCTGATTTTAAAAATGTTTTCTGATTATAAACACTATAATTGTAAGACAAGACTTAGTTGTGGAAATGACATTTGGAGAATAAAGAGAGGGGACAACTGCATGTGTATGAGGGACTGTCTGTGAAAGCTCGATCTTACTCTCTTCTGGAGAAGTCAATAGATAATATCTAAAACTAATGAATCAAAACATAGTGGCATACGAATATCATTTAGATAAATGGAGGTAAGTAGCAGATGAAGTAGCTTTTAGCTGAATCAGAGCCTGTATTTTAATTCTTTTAGGACTGAAAGTGAGAGGCTCTGGAGAGCAAGACTGCGCGTGGAAAGGTAAGGCAGGGGCTCCCGCTCACCATTATAAGCCTTGCAAGTGTATATGACTCTTAAAATTGTGTTCCTAGAACACCTTGATCAAAATAAAGATTCTCTTAAACAACAAAAATGACTTATTTCAAGACCTAACTCAATTTACTCTCCCCACCTCCCAAGTCTTCTCAGATCTCCTTCCTCTAGTCTCCTAAAAATTAGTCTGTACCATCCATGTGGCAATTAATCATTTCTATTTGGCAATGAGCTAAACTCTTCCATTGTTCCTTATCCTTCCACCTGTATCTCACCTGCCTAACTAAATCATAGCTACTTAACAGCAGAGACCACTTCGCATAAGCTTTGAGGAGTCCATAGTGGACCAAGTGATTAAATCCACAAGGTGCAGCGGCCCAGCCCCCCATTACCTGCGTAGGCATTGGCCTGCTGCAGAAGGTCAGTGCAGGTGTGCACGTCTGCAAAGGCGCGGATGCCCAGGCAGTTGGTGGGATGCAACTGAGACTGCAGGAAATCACAGCAGTTCTGCCGAACATCCATGAGCTGCAGCAAGCTGGCTGCCGGGAGCAGCACCTGCAAGAGAAGGTGATGTTCTGAGACATTGAATTCCATCGGCAGGGACTCATCCCCACAGGCACTGTTCTAGTTATATTGCTCCATGCTCAAGACTTTTTCATGGCTCTCCACTGCATGTTTAGTAAGTCCAGATTTCCCGGCTTGCTTTCCAGCCTTATTTCCCACTACTCTCCACGTCATGGACCCTAAGCACCAGCCGATTCTCTGTATCCCTACAGCAGTGCTTCCCGGTCTTCAATCCCTGAGGACCTTATTAAAATGCAGACTCTGATTCAGTAGGTCTAGGGTGGGGCCTGAGAGCCTGCATCTCTAACAAGATTCTAGGTGATGCTTGCAGTTGCGGGTCCACGAACCACAATTTGAGCAACAAAACCCTATACACAAACACACACACACACACACACACTACAGCAGAGGTTCTCATACTTGGCTGCACAATAGAATCACCTGAAGAGTTTTAAAAATGCTGATGCCTGGGTCTCACCCTCAAAGATTCTAACTTAATAGGAATGAGATGCGGCTTGACTGCTGAGATGTTTTTAAAGCTCCCACGTGCTTCTCATGAACAACCAAGTTTGAGAACTGCTGCCTGACAGCCTTTAGTGCTCTGTCCTCACTTAGAAAGCTACTTTTGAATTGTCCATTAGTTTGCTCACTACTTAATTACTGAGCATCTGTGTGCCAGGCACTGGTCTAGGCTCTGGGATTCAGTGGTAAGCAAGATAAACCAGATCCGGCTCTCATGGAATTTATAGTCTACCAGAACAAAAGACTCACCCCCAAATCCCTCAGGACTTAGGCAATCACACTTTATTCTCCCATCCAACAGATACAAATAAAGAACCTCTTTGGGTATATTCTCAGAGAAAGGAGAGCTGAGTTTTCTTTTAAAAGGTCACAGGACACATGAGCATACCATATCCTGGAAGACAGAAATAGTCTCTGCTCAGGTATATGTACATGTGTTTTTCCTAAGAGCCAGGAAAGACTGGCTGGAGCAGGCCAGCTGAGTGCTCAGACTGCCAACCCCTGTCCAGTTTCCCTAGGACTTTCCCACAGTTGCTGACGCCTGCCCTCTAGGTCGAAAATACAAGGACGGAAGGCCAAAGTCCTACTCCACTCCAGCTCTGCTCCCCTGCCCTCCACCTGTGGAAGGGGCCGGTGGTCTTAGAATGATTTTCTAAAAAGAAATTTAGAAAAAAATCACAGAACAATTTGATTTAAGGCTGCTTAACTTGGGGACCACAGCATCCATTTCACCGCAAAGCAATCCCCGTCCTAGGCCTTTGCTCTCAGCTGCTTCCCTGGCTCTCAGAGAGAGTGACTGAGCCAGCCAGACTCCAGGTGTTCCCATCCACAAGGACTTGCCCAGGAAGACACAAGCTGCAGATGCATTTGTTTTCTTGATTCAGAGCCCTACAAGTCTTTTAAGTGATTTAAATTATGGGGCCTGACCTTCTTCCAAAACAGCTTTGAGTCCTCAGCTCTGACTCTCACGACTTCTATGTGCTCAGGCCAAAAACTGCCTCACTGCCCATTTTTGGGCCTTGTCCCCCCACTAGGGTAACCAACTGTCCTGGTGTGCCCAGGATCGAGGGGTTTCCTGGGACTTTCAGTGCTAAAACCGGGACGGATGGTCACCCTTCATTATCCCTGCCCACAAGCAGTAACCACCACTATCGGCGGTCACACTCCCAAGCTAAATGCCTACTCTCAACAAGGAAAGCTCCTCCCATCTGCAAGCTTAAACTTCCCCCTCATGGAAGCTAAGTTCTAGACAACATGCTCATTTTCCCTTCCTCCACCCTCTCTTCCACTCTCCTATATCCCCAGCAAGACAACAATAAATTAGCACCATATCCTTGGCATTTTCTGAACCACTGATTCGTTCCTAAGAAAGAAAACAATAAAATCACCCTTTCCTGAGAGTTTTACACCGTAAGTGAACGCAGCCAGGATCCAAATCTAACCACTTGAGCTCCATCCCCACTAGGCAGCCACTGTCTCCACGAAGCAGCCATAAACTGGGAAACTCAATTAACCTGTGAGCTTGCTCGGCCTGGCCAAGCAGATTCCAGGACCAGATTAGTCTCTGCCTGCTAGTTAAGTGGAGATCCATTAACCATTCTTGCTGAGCCTTCAAATGACCTCCATGATGCCCATGCCCACCCCCCACCCCCACCCCTGGCCAGCACCAGCTACAAAGCCTAGAATTAAGGCCACAGGTTCACCAATCACCCTGATTTGCCCAGGACTTTACTGGTTTGGGCACTGAAAATCCCCCATCCCAGGAAACCACTCAGTTCTAAGCAAACTGGAACAAGTGTTCACCCCAACCTCTAACCAGTAACCTTAGGCAGCCCTGAGGTAAAGGAAGTCATCGAATATTGTCCAGCACACACCCTACTCAGAGGTAAGGCAAGCCCCACCAGCGCCGGGCGAGAAGAGGCAGGAATGTCACAGTAGAGCCCTTTACCCCCGCCAGGAGGCTTTCTGAGAGTCCAGTCCACCCCCAGGTTGCATTCCCAGGCAACCCCCAACAAGATCATACCAGCGACACACAGTCCCTTCCCCTTCCCCGCTTCCAAGAAGACAGCAGCACGGTTTGGTGCTTACATTCTCAAGCTCATGACAACCAGCCAGGGAAATGAAACAATATTTCCTGAACATACTCATTAGGTTACACTTTCAGTTTTTAAAACCTCCCTGCATAGAGCTACCCGAATAGCTTTTAACTTCCCCGCTGTTCACAATATCCACTTAGCAGACAAAAATTAAAAGGCTTTTCCACCTCTCCACACCCCTATCCTGTTTGGGTCCACTCCTGCCCAAAAGCATTCCCGAACTGACTTCCTAAAATGAATGGGGCTTGTGGTTTCTCCAATTGCTCCTTCCCTCTCTTTGATCTTACACTGCGATTAGCTATGAGTCAAAGGCCCTTTCCTTCCCTCTGCTTGCTTCGAACAGGAAGGCGTGAAAAAATGTCAAGGAAGTCAGAATGCTGAGGGGGAAGATTTGGAGGCTGGAAGATATATCGCTGCTCAGACTCTGGGTCTTAGGGATAAACTAGGGCCCAGTCTAAAGGAGCTCTGGGGTCTGGACATGACTACAAAGCAAATTCCCAGAGGCTCTGAAAGAACAGAGAGCAAAACGTGACTGTCTCCAGTTCCCTCTCTCCAAAATCAACAGGGCTGTGAGGGGATTTCCTCTTCTTTTATCTCGCCTGAAACTCTATTCCCTAAGCAGCAGCAGTGACAAGATTAGGAACAAGAGGGAAGTGTGGGTCCTCGGCTTTGAAGCGAGACTGTCCTTGTCGAATCACTAGGGCAGTACTGCTTGGTCCCGGGAGGGAGGAGGCTGAGACCAGAGAAGTTGGCTTCATCAGGATGGAAGATCACCCTAAGCCAAAAAGCGTCTAGCTTGCCTTTCTCCACCCCAGCGCTATAGTTCCTGGGAAACTATGGCCCTAAGCAAAGAGTTTACAGGTTCCCCTCAGCTCGCAAATGGCCTCCCCTCCATTTCTCACGTGCAGGCCCGGTTTTGTTTTTCTCTCCCTCGGATAACACGAAAACACAGCAGAGGATATCCTGTCACGGAGTTTGCTTCCTTTAGTAAAAACAAAAGGAAATGCCCTGCCTCAGAGAGCACCTACTCCTGGAACTGCAGGGAGGCAGGGCTGTGCACAGGGGGAAGGCACCAGCCAGGGGCCACCCAGGGCCTCTGCCCCTGCCCTACAGTGAATCTGGCACAGAAACAGTGCTAAATAAAAATCTGTTCAGAGAAAGAAGAAAGAAAGGAAAAGAGACAGACAGACAGATGAACAGGAGAGCCGGCAGAACAGCACTGTGCCATTCTGAATTTGACTCCTCTGCTGACCAGCCACGTAACTGGGAACAAACTACTTAACCTCTCTGTGCCTGTCTCCTCGATAGCACAATGAGGGTGACAGTGGCAATGCCTGAAGGCTTGTTGAGAGGATCTGATGAGATAATACATTTAAAGCAGGTAACACGCGCTTGGCACCTACGGAGTGCTCAGTTAATATCAGTTTTTATTATTACAAGCCGTTACAAGCTGAAGCCAAGGTTCCGATCATTCATTTAACGAGAAACTAGAGTTCATCACAGCCACAGAGCACAGTGAGTTGAAAGAGCTGGCTTCGGCTCCCAACTTTACCACTCAACTCCCTGTGAGACCGTGGCAGGTTATTTAACCCCTTTGAGCATCAGCTTCTTCAGGCTTTTGCAGCTGAAGGGAGGGGGGGATCACAGTGGTATATTCCACTGGGTGGTTATGAATTAAATAATGTAGGTGAAATGACTGGCACATGTTTGGCTTAGAATGAGTATTAGTAAGTTCAGTTAGGGCCGCTGCTACCTCCAGCATGGAAGGACAACTCAGGGTCTCTCCAAGTTACGTGTGGCCGGGAGGAGACCGAGGGTATAGCTCTCACGCCATCTAACCAAGCCCCAGGCCTCCGACCGCTGTTCTGAGGCACTCCGGAGAGCCCCCGTGCCTCCATGCTCACCTTCCCAGCGCGCCAAAATCCCCAAAAGGTCCCGTTTCCAAAGATAATCTGTGAGTAACTGCCTCAGCAGATACATAACAGCACGAAGAAGAATCCACTTGGATCCAAACTCTCTTCTTCTCGATCTTTTTTATTTTGTTTTCCCCCAAGGCCACCCCTGACCTAACCACAGTTTCAAGTGAGGTAGACAAAGGAAAGGAATAGTTATAATGGATGTCGCATTCATTCCAAATGATGACAGTTCCCCGAAGGTTCCACATGGCGTCTCCCAGCGGAGCCTCTGCACTTGCCGGCCCAGCCCCACTCCACGCACTCAGATGACCACAGCAGCCCCTCAAGGCGCTCACAGGCAGTGGAGACACAGATAGGTAGGCAGGGGAGGCAGGCTGACTCCCCAGTCTTCCTTCAAGATCTGGTCCGCACAGCGTCTCCTCCACGGGGTCTGCCCTGGCCATCCTCATCCATGCGAGTAGGAACAGCTATTCCTGCTCCTTGGGTGCCTTCTGCCCGGCCTCGCCGCAGCACAGGTCACCCCCTTGCTTAGCCATCTGTCTCCACCTTCAGACCATGTGCTCCGTGGGGAGCAGCCTGTCACAGCACTCCATGCCCACAGTGTCTGCTGACGCGGGGCAGCGGCTCAGGGTAACGTGTATTAAATGACCGAATAAACAAAGGAATAAGACAAAGAGACCCCACACACAGTCTACCAGGAGGAAGGAGGAAAAATTAAGACAGCTCCCTTAGCCCTGTGCCTTCTAGATCATGCTTCTACCCTCCACCTAGTGAGATCCCTTAAAGGGCCTTTTCCTCAGAACAACAGCTGGCACCTGGCCCGGGCCCCTGTCCTTGCCAAGCATCCTGGGCAGGAGGTATCCCAAACTATCCCTCACTTGGGAGAATTCCCACCCACTTCCAAGCCAGACTCGGTTAGTCTTTTCCTCCCACCCCTTCCCATGGCTCCTACTCCCTACCTGGTTCTTCCCCCTCAGTCCCTATCAGCACCCAGGCAGAGGAGAAACCAGACAAAGCCTTCCATGTACACATGACTCCACCATCACCTCCCTATTTTAGGTAATAATAGCCAACAATTATTGTTTACAATGTGCCAGGCACTGTTCTAAGTGCTTTACCTACATTAATACATTTAGTCCTCATACCAACCCTATGAGGTTAAATACTACGATTGAACCCATATTATAGATGAAAACATTGAGGCACAGAGAGCTTAAGTAACTTACTTAGGGTCACACAGCCAGAAAATGGTGGAACCAGGATTTGAACACAGGCAGTCTAACTCACGACTACCCATAGAATGGATACTATTATGATTCCTGTTTTACAGATGAGAAAACTGATCCTTGAGGCAGGGTGTCAGTGTGGGTGTTAGAGAAGCTCTAGTAGGAGAGACAGAGAGCAAATCAGAGGCAGGCAGAGCGGGTTCCACGCCCTCACGTTACAGATGGGAAAACTGACTCCCTACCGTGGAAAAGGCTAGGATAAGACCTCTGTGAATTATTAATAGTAGCCAAGCTGAGGCAGGGGCCCAGGTCTCCTTCACACTCAATTTCCGCCTCATCCCTGTTTCCACTTGTCCTCTGAGCCGCACATCTTCACTCTGGCCCTCTTCCCCTCCCCGACAAAGTGGTTTAAAAAAGCAACAATAAAGCCTTTTTCTCCAGGGTCCTCTGTGCTAACTGCTGCTAACTGCCTAAGATAAATGGCTTTATAAACTAGGGAGAGCCCACCACTAGGTTAGACCAAAGTTACAAAGACTACCTTTTTACCTTATTACCTATTATTACCTTATTACTTTTTACTTAGTAACTTACTTATTATTTATTATTATTTATTACTTATAGCCTTATTATTATTATGACCTATTATTAACTTATTACCTAGCCAAGCAATAAGGACTCTTCTAATTATCCAAGTTTGTAAACACTTTGTACTTCATAAGAAAAAAAGTAAATACATGATGAAAAGAGAAGAAATCTGGTTCCAATCATACGATTCTGCAACCTGCCCTATACTCATTTTATACTATGTTATTTTGCACTTACTGCTACTGCCCAAAAGTCATTCGGCTGTTTGAATTCTGCTGCTAGACCTCGTGTGCAACCACTGCATCGCCCACTCCATTCTGGATGGGAAACCAGCAGCAAAGTGGAATGGCTGTACATTTTACTGTGCATAAAATACAACTGAACTAAAAAAGGGAGGGAGGAAGATTAGACCAAATCACTATGGAAGTCATATAACCAAAGAGATAGTCTCAGAGGCCAGAAACAAAGGCAGACTCTATTGCAGGAGCAGACTCTGCATTTCCAAACACAGCGTGCATCAGACGTGCTTGCCCACCCTGATCCCTTGTGTGTACCACCAGCTACTCACACCAAGCTACCTCCCACTCACCTCACAGGTCTTGTCTCCTAAAAGAGCCCTTCCCTGATCCCCTCCCTCCATCCAAATTGAGTTCCCTTAGTATTCTCTCTCATTGTACCATCCATGTTCCTTTCCTTCAAAGGATGTATCACAATTTTTGCACAGACATTACTTGTGTGCTTATTTGGTGAACGTCTGTCTTCACCTCTAGACTGCAAACTCCACGAGGGCAGGCAGCGGACGCGCCACTGCTCACGATTACAACCACAGAGCCCAACGGGGTGCCTGGCATATGACAGGAACTCAGACATCTGGGCTGAACTGAAAGAATATCAACTCCACCTCCCAAAGACCTCGACCCTGGAAAAAGGGGTGATGTGCTGGATAACATAAGAGAAATAGGTATTTTGATCACTCGAGAGGTATCAATCACACATAAATAAATATGGTGGTATTATGCTTTAAAAAGAAGAGAAAGGGAAAAAAAAAAACTTTCATAACACATGTAATTTCCATCACTCTAAATAGCAAGATTCTTAAGGAAGAGAAATAGCATGCCCCGTGTCTGTGTTTAAGCCGGTGATTTGCAGGGTTTAAGAGCGGGCCACAGCCTCAACCGTCTCCCCTGCTGGGGCACAATGCTGATGCCTCATGTCCCGCACAGACACCTCCTCTGGGGGCAGCACTGTCTCCACTGGCTCCTCTTTTCCAGGCTCCAGATGGCTGAGGACGAGGCGGGGCAGCGAAAGGAGGAAGAGGCAGATGACACGTTTCTCAATCGCACACCCCTGCTGAGACTCAGTCCTGGCGCCTGGCACCTCCCCGTGCTCAGAGGCATTTGAATGACTGATGTGGAAATAGGAAACATTTCAAAAGCCTCACCATATAATGCTCAAAACCCCCGAGATGAGATGATGACCTGGGAAGAATAAGGGTCACCCAAGCTTCTAGTTCTTCCTTCACAAGATTTTGAACCAACATGAGCTAAAGACTTTCTGCTCCTGGGGCCCAGGCACATTCAGAGGTATCATGGCCTAGTGGTTAAGAGCAGGCTAGACCATGGGTGCCCAAGCCAGGCGGGCATGAGTTTGGGGATCTGCTGGTTTATCGACTGGCTGTGTGACTCAGGGCAAGTCACCTAACCTCTCTGGAACTTTAGTTTCCTCTTCAGTGGCCGACTCAGTTGCTGTGAAGGTTACAGAAAATAATGCTGTAAAATGGTGGCTCCTGAGTGTGCAGCACACTGAGCTATCAGCTGGGGCTGAGTTTACCTGGACGTTCTCTTCCGTCACCTCAATTTCAGCAGTGTAGATATAGTCGATGAGCTTACTCAGCGTCTGCCCGTCCACATCCTTAATTTCGATCTTCTTGGCTTTACTCTCAGACATGTCACCTACGGTTCACAACAAAAACAAAAAGGACATGAACGTGGCATCTAGGGTATGCTTAACTTCCACACGCCTCCCATCCTCTCCTAGAAACAAAAGCATCGCCCGTGCTCTGGGAGAGAGCAGGACGGATTCAGGCACGGGGGAGGATAAACTAGCTGACATCAAGGTCACGTCAACATCGGTTCTGTGATCGCCCACAAACCAATCTTACGCGTTCCTCATTCTGTCTGTTGCCCACTTCCATTCTGTAGGCAAGCCCGTGAGCAATCACCCATTCACCGACGTTTACGATAAACTTCTACGTACAAGGTGGGGAAAAGTGAATGAGATATGCACCTGTCCTCAAGGGGCTCAGGTCTCGTAAATCAGATATACAAAAATACTTATAAACATCGGTGACAAGAGCTTAGTAGAGGTGTACACAAAGTACTCTGGTAACAAGTACCATTTACTGAGTGCAAACCATGGCCAAGCACTGTGTTAAGTGCTTTAAGTCTTGCCTCTTTTAATCCTCACAATCTGTGAGATTTACTAACATTATCCTCATTTTACAGATGAAGAAACTGAGGCACAGGAGGGTAGGTGATTCATTTTGCCCACAATCATATACCTACGAAAGGACCGAACTGGGCGGAAACCCAGGGAGTCTGACTCTGAGGTCCACACTTGTAACCATGACACTATACTAAATCCTAAGAACACGGGAGGGAGGAGCAAACGCGGTCTGAGAACCCCAGCGGCATTCTAGTAGGAGGTCACATTTGAGCTGGATATTAGAGGATGAAGCAGAGTCCCATAGGCAGCAAAAGTGAGGAAGGATGGGCTGGATAAGGGACCCATAAGTGCAAAGGGAAGAAAGCGTCAAAAGGACACATTTTGGGAATGGCACTCGATAAATGTGACTTACTCTTGTGAGAGGCTGGTGTGGCTGGTACAAGGGGTAACACTGAGAAGAAGGAAGCTGAAGAGGCAGATGGGCCAGGACGCGCAGAGCCTTGTAAGTCATGTAAACTAGTTTGGCTTTATCCTAAGGGTAGCACCACTGAGGGATTTTAAACAGCGGAATGACATCAACAGATGGGTATTTTTGAATGAAATTTTGGATGCAGGGTGGAAGCTAGAGTGGAGGCAAGGAGAACAGCGGGGAGGCCCTCATGATAATGCAAGAAGGAGAAAAGGTGGGGCTGTGAATGAGGGCGGCAGCATTTCCACGGTCCCCAGGCCCTGACTGCCGTCTGCGCTTTATTTACAACACACAGGTTTACCCAGAGCCAGGCCCATTCAGCACGGGCTGCTGATGTCAGAAGGAAACGACAGGCAACACATGTGTCCTTGTAGACTGAAATAAAGGACAACCTGACCGCGAGAAACAAGGAATTCAGAAGCCCTAATGTGAGCATGAAAACAGAGCCTGGGCGGTTTTCCTCTCTGCGGAATTTGTGTTTTGGAGCCAAGAAAATAAAGTACAGTACAGCCTGTGGGCTGCAGACACCCACCTCCAAGCTGCACAGATGGCACATGATCCCTCCACCAATCCACAGTTCCCATCCTGACACACTTCTGGATCTGAATGACTCTGGAACAGGCAGGAAAGTGGGGAGGAAAAGATTCCAAACCCTGCCTGCTCCCTTCACTGCAGATCAGGTGGACCCGAGATTCTCCACTCTGTTCTCTCCCCTCTGACTACCAGTGAAAGGGTCTCAGCACAAAGAGCCCTGGAGCAGAACAAAGACGCAAAAAGGAAACAGGAAAAGATGGTAGATTCCTCCTTTACTGTGAGACAGGCTCTCACAATCTCTCTCTTGAGTTTATTCAGAGACACGTAAACAAAAACATGCGTACACACGAAAATCAGAAGTTAAGCTTCTCTTTCTAAACAGCCATTAAGAAGTTCATTAATGAGGGTCCAGTTGGTAATTATATTGCAAATCAAAATAGCCAATTCTTCATGTAAGAACTTGGTCCTTAAAAAATAAAACTAAATAAAAGAGCAGCCAGACTGCAAGAACCCAGGGATTCAGAAGCCCTCCTGGGAGTGTAAATCAGAGCCTAGGATGATGTTTTCTGTCTGTGGAATTTGTGCTTGGGAGTCAGGTTTGGGTTTTGTGACTTTGGGGTAAACAAACGGAAACTCTTGAAATTATATGAAAATATTTTTATATAAGCATAAAAGTTCAGTTTTTCTGGGGGGATGACAGATCATTTTTATCATATTGTTACATGGATCTATGACTCAGAAAAGGTTAAGATACAGTTTTCTGGACAGTGGGACTTTGGGAGACCTTTTCTTGCTTTCTTTAGATATACTCTGAAATTACTAATTTTCTATATTAAATACTTAAAACTCAATAAGCAAGAAAAATGTGAAATAAAAACTAGGGGCTCAAAGACAACAGTTATTTTCTAAGAAAGCTCACTTGTAGTAAATTAGAGAACTGTATAAGTCACATAGACTTGTAGAATCCAATCTTACTATCTCTTAAGAACCAGCAAAAATGACTACACCAAACTAAGACTTCGGCTTAAATAGGCCCGAAAAATAGTTGTACTAACAGTCACGACTGTGTGCCAGGCCCTCTGTGAAGGGTTTTTTATACATATTATTTCATTTAATCCCCTTAAGAATCCCATGAGGTAGATGATATTACTTCCATTTTATAAATTATAAAATTGGCATTTCTGGAGGTATTTACGCATAGGTACTAAGAGGCAGGGCTGGGATTTGAACCTTGGCCTAACTCTAGACCCCGTGCCATTTCTAATAAATCCCTCTATAAACTCTGACCCTAATTGATGATCTTATTAAAAGTATTCCCAAACTCAAGGCACTGGTCCAAATTCTGAGGGCAAGTTAGGGCTTGATACCTACCAAAGACCCAAGCAGGCTGGGATCTTGTCAAGCTGATTTGTCAAGAGATCCTCACCATGCAACACAGCACTGGTCACGTAACAAGGACTTAAAAAATATCTGCTGGAGTGGTGTGTTAGGGACAGGAAGAAGAAACTCTATGTCAGCCCAAGGTGACTAACTCATTACTCCTTAATCCCAGGTGGCTTCTGACATCCCCAGTGCTTTTTTCTGAACTAGTCTACCCAACCCCTGACTCCTGAGGGGCAAAACTCTCAGAAACCAGACCCTATACACTACCAGTACTACTCACAACCTCCTTCAAGTCCAAAGAAGTAATTCAGTCCCCTGGTTCTGCCTCCCTCACTGCCCCATTGCCTTGTATTCAGTTTTGCCGGGCTCCATATCATGCAAAGTTCTTCAAAGGGGTCAGTACACCATGCGAACACTCAGAACACAGACATGGGCTGTGGACCCAGCATGGGTAGGGTCTAGCATGAAGAAAGGGAAAAACAATGGTTCTATGGAATGAGTTCGTGCCTAGGAGGGGAGTAAGAGAGCCAGGCCCTCATTGTTCTGCTTTGTGGGTGATTGGTGTCTACTTGAATTCTAAGCCTCCTGCCCCTCACCCTCAGCACATTCCTGACCTTTGCTCCCTGTTTCTACTCACCACGTGTTCAAAGATGCCAGCTGAACATCAGCCTAAATCTAATAAAAATGGGACAGTAGTTCTTCTCTAAAATATAAAAACCAATCTAAATCAGTCCCTGCATAGAGTACAATAGAACCAGATGAGTGGGACAAATCACTCCCAGGGCTTCATTTGGGATGGAAACCCAAATCTCTTTTAGCCACCACGACCTCAGTTCCTTTAGCACCATAAAATGGGGGTTGTTTTTAAAGTATCTGGATGACATGTAGGTCAGGGACACATACAGGGTACAAATGCTATAGGGCACAGAACCCAAAGAAAAGGGCATGATATAAATAGGAGAAAACTGAGGAGGCTATTCTGGGGAAATGGCTTCCCCTGGGACGGAGGTGCTAGATGGAGAGGATGGGAGGAAGTCTCAGTATTCCATCCTCACAGGAAAAAGAACAGAACACAGCACTGCTGGCCTCCCTGCTCATGCTACACTCAAAGGAAGGGAGAGCAATTAGGTTGACTGCTCACCCCAGATCTTCTTACAGGCTGGCTGGATTTGGACACTCTCTGGTGGGCACTCAGACCCCAGTTTTGCATTTATTCCAAGTTATTGTAGGCAGGACACGGTCAAGGAGTATGAGGTTGGTATTTAGAACCACAACAGGACATTTGGGCAGCATGAACTCAGAGGACTAAAAAATAAAAAAAGTTAAGCCTGAGTAAAAGATCATAATCACATAACTCACATCAGAAGAAAGTCATGTGTATTTTATTGTCCTTTTGGCCATAAACATGCTGATAAAAGTGGACTTAACAAGAGTTAGTGGGACCTTCTCATGATGAATTTTAGGCATTTTGAAGCCAAATCTGATAATTAGAACAAAGTTTTGCAATGTTACTGGAGTTTTTTATACCTGTTTACCAAGACTTAAGCAAAGCCAAGGGGCCTCATAAATACATAAATCTCAAATATTGCTGACGGGAGCATAAGCTTGTACAACTGTTCTGTAGGGCAGTGTGTACATCTCACAAGTCTTCAAAATGTGCATACCCTTTAACCAAGTATTTCTTATTCTAGGAATCTATTCTAAGGAAATAATCGGGAATGTAAATAAATATTAAGATGCAAAGATGCCCATTATAGCATTATGTTTAATAGCAAAATCTTAGAAAGAACTGTAATTTCCAATAAATAAGAAAATAGATTCTCAATTAGGGTACATATGATGGAATCTTATGAAACCACTAAAATTAGGATGTAGATGCAATTTCACTGGCATGGAAAGATATTCATGATATGTTGCTAAGTTCCATTAAACAAAACAATTTTTATTGAGCACCTACTGTGTGGAAGATCATACGAAGCAGTAGGAACACAGTAGTGAATTAAAAAGGTATAGTTCTTACCCTCATAAAGGTTGTGATTGACCAGAGAAATCAGATGTTGAGGAAGTAATGAGTGAGTAGTGATACTAAAGGTAAGCATAAGGTATCATGGAGTAAGTAGCAAAGGAATGTCACCTAATCCAGAGGGTCATGGAAGGCCTTTCTGAGAAAGTAATGCCTGAGCAGTAATGAAGGACAATGAAGTAATGAAGGCAGGCAAAGAGACAGGGACGAAGAATGTTCCAGGAAGATGAATAGCAATTTTTTAAAAAACTCATCAGAAAAGGCTATTCAACTGTACATATAAAATAAACTCATTTATGTTAAAAATATATTTTGTATATGTATATAAGTATAAAATATGAAAAGATATAGACCATACTCTTACCTAAATGTTATATAACATGTAACTTTTTAGTTTTTGCTTGCTCACATTTTCTGATTTTTTTTCTGTAATGAACATATGAGAATCGTGTTTGCCTTTCTTTTTTTTTTTTAACCTGTAGATCCATGTCCACACAGAGGATCGTGTTTGAATGGATGGGTGAATGGATGGATGGAAGGACAGATGGTAACCAAATTCCTTGGAAGGCTTGGGCTGGGCATTATATTAGACTGCCTTCTTCTCTTGATTCTCCCCTCCCTTCAGTTACTAGAATCTAAGACCTGCCCCAGAAACACCTTTTCTCCCAATTTCTAAGTTCACTTTGTTTTAGCTAAGGTACTTCCCCTGCCCCAGATGCAAATTCATTAGCAAAAAGTGAAGCCAATACTATAATTCATTGCAATTCCAAATAGATTCCTCTCTCAACACTGGACTTTCCAAACCACACACACAAAGAATGACTGGCAGAGCTATTTGTTCAAGTTGCAGACAAAATGAATTATTTTAAAAGAAATAGAGATGCATGAAGGAAAGAGAAAAAAAAAGAAATAAAAATCTTACAACTAGGGTTTGAGATAATTCTTAAGGGAGTGTGACTCAAAATTTCCAGACAGTGAACTTAGCTGGTTTTCCAGGCTACATTATGAAATTCTGGCCCAGGGCTCAAAGTGAGGGAAGAGTGGCCTGGTCCACTTAGCAGAGGCACAACTCCAAGTTGAGACCAGGCCCCCTTCACATGATGAGCCAAGGGGGACACACACGCAAGGAACTCTCAAAGCACAAGTGCCAAAAACCACTTTGCCTAGCTGTGTAACATATTAGGAAAAGGGTTAAAACCCATTCAGCAAAAATGTCCCTGCACTCACCCATGCTTAGCCAGCTCACGTTCATTCTTTTGATCTTCGCTTATTCACCGTCTCCTCTGGGGGGCACTGAGGATTCAATAATAACAAGACATGTTCCCCAAATGCCCAAAGCTCACAGTGAGGTTCAGGAGACATTTCATTTGCTCATTTAAAAAATACTGGAGTCCTACCACATACCAGGTGCTCACAATATAGTAACAAGTCCTACAAGTCCCTATCCTCACAGGGCTTATATTCTAGTGAGGAGAGATAGGTATAAAATACATAAACAAACAACCAAGATGATTTTCAGATAGTGATAAATGTTAAAAAATAAAGTCAAGTTATAGGATAGAAAGAGTCTTGGTATGGAACTATCGCTAGGGTGATGAGAGGAGGCCTCTTTGAGGAGGAGTCAGTTGCAAGATCAGAAGCAGCCAGTTACGTGAGATGCCAGGGCACGGGCATTGCAGACTCCAGGAAACAGACAAGAATGAAGAATGACAGTCACCATACTTGGAGTAGGCACAGGGCACTTGGAAAGCATGTGGAAGGGACACATGACCCAGTATGGGGGTCTCACCAAGCCCAGTGGCCTCTTCCTGTCTCTATCAGCAGTGATTTATAGAGCACTGCCTATGCCTGATTCAGGGAGGTGCTGTGTGGGACTACAGATAAGCTCAGCCCATGGGTTTCGGGGAATTCAGTCTCAGAAGTAACACGTGTGAAACAGCGGGACAAGGCTATTGAGCATGCCCAGGAGACAGGGACCCTCTGGAAAGCAGGCAAAGGTGCTGAAATGCCATATTTTGATTATTCCTATGTCTCAGCCCCGCCAAACCCCACCATCACTTCTCCAAATCTCTTCCACACTCCTATGATGGCTATAGAAGGCCCACGGCCTGGAAGGAAGGGCTGGGAAGAACAAGATGTAGGCCAGCTGGTAGAGTACTGGGCCTGGTGTCAAGAAGCCAGGTCCCATTCATTCCCTAAGTGACCTTGGACAAATCCTTTCCCTTCTCTCAGCTGAAGGTCCTCCATCTGCAAAATGAGAGATCAGCAGGCCTGGTGATGAGCCCAGGAGTCTACATGGTTAATAGGCTCCCACACATGGTCATAAAACTTGCTTAAGCATGAGAACTACTGGCCTATATGATCCTACCTCTTCTCAAGGTGAACAGGGGCTACATGACCAACTGGCCTGTCTGGGACTTTGGTTCCATCAAGTCCTCCATGGTGCAAAGCACAGTATCTGGCACAGAAAGCTCCTCATGATGGGTTTCATGACCTTCTCTTTCCTCCCTCCCCTCATTGCACCACCCTCAATATTCTCCCAGTGGGGCTGCAGCCCCATGAGCATGGGTTATCGTTTGCCCTTCACCATACCTGTGAACATCGCACAGAAGTAGGGGCTGCAGGCTGCCAGGACCACACGGTGGGCTTCTATTTCGACATCTTCTGCCACAATCATCACGTCACACAACAGCTGTTTACTGTAAGACACCAGTGAAGGGACAGGATGGGTCACAGCATGGACACCTATCCCCATGATACACAAGTATTTTTTTCTCCCAGACTTCATACCATCACTATACAAAGCAGTCACAGAGACCTGCTCTATCTTGAGTTAGGCAGAGGGATGGATTCCTCAACTTTTCCAAGATCCCGATATGCCTGACATGCATGCTTTCCTAAAGCACACAGAGAGATCTAACTACTCTCTGTCTGTAAATTCAGGGCTACTTCATTTGTCTTCACCTTTCTGCTCCCCAATTCCATAAGCTCTGATTGAGAATTAGGGGGACAGTGGCTCAGGAAGCAGTGGCAAAAGCTTGGGGTTGTCAACTGAGCAACTGAATGGATACTGAGGAACACGAGCACACTACTGAGATGTGCCGCCAGCAAGACCAAGTAAACAATCCCCCAAGGGACCCACTGCATATGGTAAGAGTCAAGCCAGACTCAGGAACTTCTCCTCCCTCTCAGATGCAACACTATCAACAAGAAGATTCCACCTGTAGACACAGTGCTCCCTAAGGACTCTGGGCAAACTCCAATCACTGCAATTATTAAAAATCTTGTAATCACCTTTCTACTTGTTTGTCACCACAACATACCATAACTCAGAAAAGAATGTGCCATTTACTCTTGTATCAAAGACACGTGGCTACATACATAGCACACAGCAGACCCTAAATGTTTAGTGACTAAATGAATGAATGAGATCAATCCACATATATAAAGGGAATTGATATTTGACTACTTTAGAGATTAACAGGTGCCACAAGGTCCTGTCATTCTAAGAATTACTCCTTCATCAGTCATCCAAGCTCTTACATGCCTAAAATCAATATAATAATTAATATTTATCGAGTTATGTGTTCCAGGCACTGTTCTAAGCACTTTTTTTACACATATTATTTCACTTAATCCTCTCTACAACCCTATGAGATAGAGCTAATTGTTATGTCCCATATTACAAATGAGGAAATTGAGGTCCAGAGAAGTTAAATAACTTTCCCAATGTCACACAGAAAGGGAGCAGTGGAGACAGGATTTGAATGCAGGCAGCAAAGCCCATGCTCTTAACCTCTGTGGTGTCTGATCACCACTGGTCCCTCCTTTAGATTAAAGCACTAGAGGCAGGAGGGATGACAAGAAGAAACACATTTCAACTGTGATCCACTGGTAGTGGTCACTTAGCAAGCTATACTGGTTGAGAAGTCTGAGGTCATGACTGGGTTCTGCATGAGAACATTGAGACCAATTAATGAGACTGCCATGGCTGACAGATGGAAGAAAAGCTACATACTTACCAGCTCTGGTGTAGCATGTTAAGCCATTGTCAACTACTAAGACAGTAGTTTAGGTTCATTTGTCAGAGAAATAGAATCATAAAGTCTGGGAAGGCTAGAGATACAAATGCCCTTAGAGATCATCTGGTCTATGAAACTCAGAGAGGTAAAGAGAAGTCCAAAGCCACAGAATCCAGTTCCCCTTAGTCCAGATACAGTGATTTTTCCACTCAACCAGAATGCCTCATGACTGGCTGACACCCAGAATGAGAAAAGAGAGAATGTTGGTTAGCTCCAACAGGGAGAGATGCTCAGGAAATGTTCAACACATGGAATAAAGTACAGTGAAGGGGCTTCTAGGAAGGGTAACACCTTTGGGCACCAAGAGGCAAAACCTAGGGTTTGGGGCTTCACCCTGCAGTGGACAGCAGACCCTACACACAAACTTTATCAGAGTAAACCAGTACAACCAGGAACAGAACTGGCTCTGCCCCTAACTGGCTATGAGAACATGGATAAATAAATTCACCACAGTTTTCTCACCTGTCTTAGCTACCTTTGGGACATATAAGGACAAAATGGGATTGCAGAGGCCATCTGAGAACAGGCTTTTTAGTCTGGCCAAAATTTATTGCAAAAAGTTATTCCTAACATGAATAGACTTATCTTGGAAAATGGAGTTATCACTGCCATTTAAGAGTAACCAGTAATTTTTTTGGTAACCAATATTTTAATAAGGAAACTATTGATACAAAAGGAAATGCTGAACAACTTTTCAGTGCTAGGAGCTGAACAATCAAATATTATATCTTGCACAAATCCAGGGAGGCTGATAATTCTGGAACAAATGGGAAAGAAACAAGAAGGAATGGGAAATAAAGATGGAGAATCCAGTTAAGCAAATGAGTGAGAAGAGTTCTGATGGGTGAGAAGTGTGTCTCAAAGCCAGAGAAACTCTAACCTGGGAAACTGGCCAAAAGAAACTTGCCAAAAACACAAGGTGGGTTTTCCCCTGGGATGGGGAAGCCTATCTGCACACTGGAGATATCTCTATGTATCCACTCTACATGGAAAAGGAAAGAGGCAGCTCTAAAGCACTGCATGGTTCACAAGTACTCCTATTCCATTCACCAGGGATCCTACGGGATCCTTTCTCTTGAGCTATCATACCACTGCAAAGGACAGTCTTGAGGATAGAAAAGTAGAACTACATACTTCAGCATTTGTGGGAAAGTATAATGTGGCTGTCAAGAAGGAGCTCAGGCTCTGGAATCAAACTGACCTGAGTTCAAGCCTCTGCCCAGAACTCTCTAGTGTGGACAAGCATGCAATGTCCCCAAGGTGTCATAACATTAAAATATGTTATAAATCAGATAATGCATAGTGCTAATAGTTAATATTCAGCAAATGTTAGCTTATTTTTCTTTTTTTTTTCCCACAAAATGTTTAAGATTAGAGGGTAAGGTTTGAACGTGTTAAGTTTGAGCTACCTATTGGACATCTAAGTGGGGTTATCAATCAGGTAAATGGATACATGGGTTTGGAGTTCAGAGGTGGGAGATGGTTAAGAGGTTGAGGGGAAGAATAAGAACCAGCAAAAAAGACGGTGTGGTACTAGCATAAAGATAGCTATATAGACCAAGAGAACAGAATTGAGAGTCCAGAAATAAACCCTCATATTTATGGTCAATTGATTCTTTACAAGGGTGCCAAAACCATTCAACTGGAAAAAAATAGTCTTTTCCACAAATGATGCTGGGACAATTGGATATTCACATGTAAAACAATGAGGTTGGACCCCCAGCTCACGTGGCATAAAAAATTTACTTGAAATAGATCAAAGACCTAAATATAAGAGCTAAAACCATAAAACACTTAGAAGAAAACATAGGGGTAAATGTTTGTGACTTCAAATAAGGCAATGGTTTCTTAGATATGACACCAAAAGGACAAACGATAGAAGAAAAAAACCAATAAATTAGACATCAAAATTTAAAACATTTGTGCTTCAAAGGACACCACTAGGAAAGTGAAAAGACAATCCATAGAATGAGATAAAAATTTTGCAAATCCTCTATCTGATAATGGGCTTGTATCTAGAATATATGAAGAACTCTAACAACTCAATAATAAATGTAAAATAACCCAAGTGAAAATGAACAAGAGATCTGAATAGACATTTCTCCAAATAAGACAGAGAAATGGACAATGAGCTCATGAAAAGATGTTAGAAATCATTAATCATCAGAGAAATTCAAAACCACAATGAGATACCACCTAATGCCCACTAAGGTGGCTATAATCAAAAATGCAAATAATAACAAGTGTTAGAGAGGATGTGCAGGAATTGGAATCTTCATCCACAGCTGATGGAAATGTAAAATGGTGCAACTGCTTTGGAAAACAGTTTGGCAAGTCCTCTAAAAGTTAAATAAGAGTTGCCATATGCCCCAGCAATCCCATTCCTAGATATATACTCAATAGAAATGAAAATATACATTCATACAAAAACCTGTACATGAATGTTCATAGCAGCATTATTCATAATAGCCAAAAGCCAAATATGGTATGTCTATATAATGAACTATCATTCAGCAATAAAAAGGAATGAAGTAGTGAGACATGCCACAACAGGGATAAACCTTGAAAACATTATGCTGAGTGAAAGAAGCTAGACACAAAAGACTACGTATTATATGATTCTAAAAATAGGCAAATCCATAGAGACAGAAAGTAGAATAGTGGTTGCCTACAGCTGGTGGGGTTGGTGGAGGTGGGTAAGGACAGGGGGAAGGAGTAGAAGAGGGTAACTGCTAAAGAATACAGAGTTTCTATTTGTGGTGATGAAAATATTCTAAAATTGACTGTAGTTGCACTACTATGAATACAGTAAAAGCTATTAAACTGTACTCTTTAAATAGGTAAATTGTATGGCATATGAATTATATCTTGATAAAGCTGTTATCAAAAGAAAAACTGAAAGCAACATGCTAAGATGGTTCCTTACTAGTAATAAAGACATAGTGGCAGACCAACCGAACAAAAAGACGAGGTTTGCAATGAGTGAAATGGGAGGCTAAAACTGTCCAAATGAGATAGAGAAGACCGTCTATGGAGTCTTAATGCTCACTGGTTGCTCCATTCTCCCTGCTGCCTTCTTTTCAGGCCTGGTCAGGGTGTGCTACTCCAAGAAGGACCACATCTCCATTTGCTGGCTGGATGGTGAGTCAGGAGCCAAAGAATCACTAGGGCTCTGCTGCCCAGATGTAGCTGTGGTCTGGCCAGAGCAGAGCAATGTAGTGCAAAAGGAGGAGGAAGGCTGGGCGGTTACCATGCCAACAGCCCTTTCTCTACAATGGAAGTAAAGAGGATAGGAAACTCGTGAATTGTGTGATTCATAAATTGCAAAGTGTGCTCGAACTAAAATAGCTTAAAATTGAGGGAGGGGAATGTGAAAACAATGCAAGTAATAACCCCAGGTCCCTGGAATATCATGTAACATTTCATTAGCCTAATCCCTGGAAGGCAAGATGCTTTAGCCCAGGCCTTCATCAAAACAAAGCATGCTCAGCCTCTCTCCAGTTCCCATTAAACTCATCCTGATCAATAAAGTGTCAATTCAGGCCCCCTCTCTCCCTGCTTCACCTATTCCACTCTAGTTTTTAGAAGTTAGCCATTTAAATACTTTGGAACTCGACATAGCCTTTGGATACCATGAGAATACAAGCTTCAATGAGGGGAAGACTTTGATTCTCTTATCTGCTGACATATTCTTATAACCTAGTGCAGTGCTTAAGCAAATCATCATCATCATCATCACAGCTAACACAGAATATTCACTATGTGCCAGAGCCTCGTGATAATATCTAAGGAATAGTTATTATTCTACAGGCTATTGAAATTAGCAATTCTACTTCTAGGAATGAATTCTATAGAAATAATCATGAATGTGCACAAGTATTTAACAACAGTAATATATGTGCTGTCACTGTTTTAAGCACTTTATTCATTAATCCTCTTAACAACCCTGTAAGACTGGTACTATTATTAACCTCATTTTATGGTTGATAAAAGTGAAGTCAGGAAGATTAATTAACCTGCCCAGGGTCACACAGTAAGTACTAGAGCCAAGATTTGAAATTAAAGTTTGTGTTTGTGAGCACTATGTTATACAGCTAAAGATAACCGCTGCAGGTGTTATTTACATACGGAATTGGGAAAACCCCAGACATCCAACCACAGGGAACTGTTTTAAAAAATAAATAAATAAACCAAAAATAGGGTATCATTCATCCATTTAATGATGTAGAACAGTTAATAACAAAGAAAAATTTGTTCAATATAGTGTTAAGAAAAAAATTCAGGTTGAGAAATTTACTTTAAAGAGGTATATTGTCCAAAGTGCTAACAATGGTTACCACCATGTATTAAAATTATAGATGACTTGTTGCTCATCTGTACTTTCTAAATGTTCTATAACAAATATATTCCTTTTACAAAAGAAAAATTTTCCCAGCCAGGCAAGTATATATAGATTTGGTCCATTTGAAGAATACAAAAAGAGGAAGATTATTGACTTAAATTTCATCAAGGACTATGTCTGGTATTTAGATTAGTGTTTTCCAAAACAAGTTTAACAAAACATTCAGTCTATACATAACAACCACCACCAAACGGGGTTCTGTACGTGTGAGAAATCCTCAGTCGGACAAGTTTATTGCAGGACTTCTCAGAGCATTTAATATGCCAGTATGCATTATGAAGTGGGGAGGGGGAACAGTATATAGCATTTCTCAAACTCGTTTGAGTACAGAGCTCTTTTTTTCCCACAAAGCATCCTGAGGGAAATAGCATTCCTCAGAACAAATACCAAAGAGAAGTAGCAGCAGGACTGTTGGAGGAGGTTAAATCCAACTCAATGTTTGGGGGGAAAAATACAAAATCATGGTAACTTTTAACAGAAGCAACAAGGACTTAGGATGACTTTTTTTAGTTATTTAAGAAAAAGAAAAGATGCTAGTAACAGAAAGTGGGGATGGGGGAATCTCATGTGCATATCTATTCCCTGAGCTCACTCCCTTTCAGCAGTCACTGGAGTGAACTATACCAGGCAACATCAGGCCTGGTAAGAGACTCTTAAATCAGACTCATAAATCGGACAAAGGACACAAGCCATATCCAAAGGAACTAAACGAAGAACTTCAATAGTGTCCAGGGAATACGACACAAATTCTTTAGTAACAAGAGAACCATGCCCATAGGCATGAGCATCAGCACTGCCCAATGCCTAAGAGAGCTGCAGGCAGAGCTTCCAGGAAATCTGGCAGAAGGCCTAATAAAAATTGAGCAGTAGAGCACAAGACAAATTTAATTTAACTTGGTTTTTAATGCCAAAGCCTGGGCCCTGTAGAAAGGAGAAATGAGAAAACAAACACAGAATCAGATAGAACTTTTGCTTTATTAAAAGCAGTTCAATCCCCCACTCAACAAATACTTCCTTGGCTATATGCCACTCTCTCTGCCTAGAAGGCTTCTCTCTACCCCCACACTACCCTTCATTTCTTTAACTCTTACTCGTCCTTCAAAATTCAGCTGAAGCATCACCTCCATTTAGGAAGCCTTCTCCACAGTTCCAGTCTAACATACTTGCTTCTGTAGCACCCTTTAAGAAACAAAAATAATCATTGTATACCTCCATCTGTCAGGCACCGAATGCATTCCTCCTTCATAATACCTATTTGCATTGTAGAAAGATTATTTTCATTAACCTATTTACATTTTTATTTTGTAATCCCACCCACTCATTCCAGGGCCTAGCCAGTGCCTCTGGGCTTCTTTGATGAATGAATAGAAGCTCCTATGAAGTGCCAGGTGCTAGAGATAGAAAGTACACAGAAGTCGCCTTGGCCTCAGAAAGCTCATGACCTACAGAGAAAAGATGAGATAAATAATCACACCTCACAACAGGATGAAGTATGTAGTAAATAATGGCACGGGCAAAGGAAGCTTCAGAGCTCTCTGGTAAGGAAGAGATTCTGTACGTAGGCTTTGTACAGAAAAACATGCTCAGTGCCCTGAACCGGTCTTACAACAAGCTTGTCAAACATGCACATTGCCCCTTACAAATGCCCTGCACACCATTTAGCTCAGAGAAAATGAGTATATTTGCATTTCGTTTGTTTCTTTACAGAGTTAAACTGCATTTAGGAGCTAGATATTCTTCCATTTATGTCACTGTTCAGACCACAGAATGAGAGAGGGAGACCAAAAGAAAATACATGACATCCACAATCTTTAATCTGCAATTGTCTGTAGGTGTTGCAATTATTCTATTATTGATTTTCAAGCAGCTGGTTCTACTGGAAATCAAGTTTATGAACAGACCTGCTGTAAACATAAAGGATTTTCCCCCTGTGATTAATCACTAAAATGATAGGTATTAAATAAATACAAGGGAAAGAGAGACTTCTGGAAAAGCCACTCTGTCTTTTTTATTATTTTTTTTTATCTCAGCATATTACGGCAGTACAAATGTTTAGGTTACATATATTGCCTTTGCCCCATCCAAGTCAAGAGCTTCAAGCATGTCCATCCCCGAGAGAGTGTGCACCACACCCATTAGGTGTGAATATACCCAACCCCTCCTCCCTCTGCCACCTGCCCAACACCCAATGAACTTTACTACGAAGTGTGCACATAGTGTTGATCAGTTAATACCAATTTAATGGTGGTACATGCGGTGCTTGTTTTTCCATTCTTGTGATACTTCACTAAGAAAAAATCAAACAACCCCACTAAACAGTGGGCAAAGGACATGAACAGAAACTTTTCAAAAGAAGAAAGACTAATGGCCAACAAACATATGAAAAAATGCTCATCTCTAATCATCAGGAAAATGCAAATGAAAACCACAATGAGATATCACTTAACTCCAGTGAGAATGGGTTTCGTGAAAAAGTACCAAAACAAATGTTGGTGTGGATGTGGAGAGATAGGAACACTCACACACTGCTGGGAGGACTGCAAATTAGTACAACCTCTATGGAAAGCAATATGGAGATATCTCAAA